TCGACTCTAATCAATCTTGCATCCAATGGTTGTGCGATAGACTTACCTCCACGTGGTGCACCCTGAGCAACGTATACTCATACGGCAAAAAAGTCTAATAACCGGCAGTCGACTTCTGACTTCAAACTACCATGGACCGACTGCTTATCATATTCGACCCCTACTAAAGTACTCATCTCACCTTTTTCCTACCTTTGTGTTTGTCTCTTTTACATCTTTCAAGCACCCTTCTGTCTCTTTAAGATCTGTGAATCACTCTCCTGTTCCCCCCCCCTCCCGATTTTTTTTTCACTTTGATGTTCCTCCCCTCTGTGAAGTCTGAAGTCAATTAAAGGGTTAATGATAACTATCAAAACGCCTGCCATTTGATATAAATAAATAAATCTTGCATCCCATAGTTTACATTTGATTTGGAGAGTAGCACTTTAAAACCAAAGTTAGCAGTTTCAAGTGTTCGATCGCCCGTTAAGCACGACGCACTGATTAGAATCGATTTAACGTTTTAATTGTTTATCAATTGACATAATCTTCAAATTGCGATCACGTAAAGACGTGTCTTCTGGATTTGTCGCATTTACTTCTCAATGTACCTAGAACCCAGTAAATGCTACAATCCTTGATTTGTGGGCATTATTCTAGTAACCTTTTTAAATCATATTTGTGTTCCTTTTCTTCTATTTCTTCGTCTGCTTTCACAATGTGAGTTGATGAATAATTGATGTTGGAAGTTTGACAAACATCATCTTTGTTAATTACCCACATATTCATACTGGCTAGCTAAATCCAAACTAGTGCAGTCCCTAGAAGGGAAAGTTTCAGGAAGTCATAACGCCCGACTTCATATATTTCCTATTGGTGGGGCAATTTAGCAACCATACTTTAAAAGCAATGAGAGTTTTCCAGACCTTTTCACTACCTGCTAGAAAAGCACTTTTAGATAAAAGTGCCAAAACGTCGGTGTCAAATTTAAAAGTTATAACTAGATTTTGGCAAAATAGTTATAATGTCAAATAACATTATTTGCAGACGTTGTGAAAATTAGAATGAATGACCTTCGTGAATAATAAGCGTTTTCAAAAGTAAGACCTTAGGTAATTGTTTATCTGGTTATTATATTTTAAAACGCTTTTAATGTTTTAATTCGTATAAAGAGTGTTTTAAGGTAGAACCAATCCTACTATTCAAAAATGGACGCTTAATTATAATTATAATTTTGAAGCCTTATTTTTTTGCAGCATATCTAGAGAGGAACTAATTTATTTATCTATTTGAATAATTATTAGCAATTGAACGTTCAAATATTTTTTTCTTTCGTATTGATAATCCGTTCACAGTTCATCTTTAATTGCAAATGCGCGAGTTCAAAGAGAAGAGATTCTATTCAAAACTAAATCACCCACAATTGTAAAGAAATTATGAAAATCATAAAATATTTTGATGGTTTTAACACTCTTTCTGCTCGAATCTTATTGTGCATCACAGGACTAGAATAAGCTAACTTCCTAAAAAGCTATATATTTAAAGCGATAAAGAAAACCCCATTGGTTAAAATTGAGTCCCTTTCTCCTGTCTGAAACAAAGTTAGATAAAAAAAGAAGCAAGCACATAAAGTAAGGAATGACCTGAAATGCTGGCTGGTGATATAGTTAAGCAACGTTATCGATGGAATCAAATTCATAATTATTACAAGGGTATTCGGATAAGAAAAACCACCACTAATCGACGAAGTTGAAGTGACTTTGTCCAACCCAGAATTAATACAGATCAATTAAACATTATTTTTAGCTTTACTTAAGCCAACGACGATCTAGGTTGTTATGTTCAGTATGCTTAAAATCAAACCAAGAAAAATGAACATGCTGGTAAGGCTCATTTGTCATAAGATAATCTTAAAAGGACAGTATGAAAACATTCTAGAATTACTTCCCACCAAAACATAAATTAAATATATTAGTGATAGTCAAATTTTGAAATCAACCGATCCGAATTATTGTTTCAAATATGAAACATTAGTAAAAATTTCATAAACTATAGGCCTAAGTAAAAATCTAATGGTGTTGTGGAAATTGATTAAAAAAACGTTTCCATTGCAAGGTTCAAAAAAATTGGGATAAGCAGAGGTAATTTCCAAGCTGATTTAAAACACAAATAAAAGAGTAACAAAATAAGCGCAAACTAACTGTCTATCTAATAAGCGATACATTTTAAATGTTGAATTAAATGGCAGGATTGATAAAAAAATTCATTTTTTAATTGTAATAAATTGTGCATTTTTTAATTTTAATAATTGAAAGAAATCCTGAATCGATCGAATTCCTTTCATAGTACACGGGCAAATACAAGGAACTTAAGAGTTGGTAGCTGTACAATAGGCGTGAGAATGATTTTTATTTCGTAGGAAGCTAAAAAGAACACGACGAAAAAACAATTAGGGATCAAGAGTTCTAAATAAAAAAAGTCGCGCTCAGCTTATATAAGATACTTTTAAATTATAAAAAAACTGAATGAAAGTGGCGATAAATTAACATAAAATATAGACGGCAATTCTAACAAAGGAATAGAGAAAAACAAAATGCACAATCCGGAAGAAATTTGAATTATTTATCCTAATAAAGACCAACTGCCTGTTAAGACACGCTCGGATTATAGTAGACACACAAGAAATCTATGTCTATATCATAAAACTCACGATTGCAACCAAGGTCATGAACAGTGAGGAACACAACGTTTCGAGAGGCGAGATTACCCTATTAAAAATGACAAAGTACAGAGATACAAACAATATATCAATAAACATAATTTATGTAAAACTGTTTGACACTAAAATGAAAGGCGTTATAATTTATAGAAATATAGGATCTAAAAATTCAGTCCATACCTGCACATAAACATTTACTTTCCCAATCGGTAGGTCCAATTCATAATGCTAAATGGAAAAATATAATAACACAGATACCCTACCTGTTCAGATGCCATTCCGGGGGCAGCCATTTTGCTCAAATATATAATGTCAATTAGGTTAAATATCCGACAACCTTAAAAATTAATGAAAGTGGTCAGTATAAACAAACGCAATTATATGATACTTATTACAAAACGAGTAAAATCTTTATGAACAACGTAATTATTTAATGCTTCCTTACTTTTATAAATGCAAATCTGTGAAAATTAATGTGATCTCTATTTCATTAAAAGTTTCAAGATTAAATAAAATTTTATAAAGCTAAAAAAGTAAATTGAGCAACTTAAGAATCAAAAAACATCTTGCTTTAATTTAGTCATAAGAATAGAATGGATGAATAAAAAAATTATGGAGATGGTTTGCAAACGACTTAAGGCTCTATTTTTTCGTATTTATCGAAAGGATTCGCAGAAAGAGAACTAGTTTGGTTTTTAAAATTTTTGAATAAATAGAGATGTACGTAGAAATAATATTTAAATGATTCTTGGTATTCGGATAGGAACATTAGGACAGAAGTATGAAAATTCAATTTGAAAAAATTAAGTATAGTCTCACGACCATTATACTTTTCAACTGAGGTTCTATTGACAGAATGATGTATGTTTGATGCTAAGTTACTGTAAATCAATAATGGCTGTTTGAATTTTTCTAATTAATATTTATTTATTTATTTCAAATGGCAGGCGTTTTGATATTTATCATTAGCCCTTTAGCTGACTTCGGACTTCACAGGGGGGAGGAACATCAAAGTAACAGAAAATAGAGGGGTGGGGAACAGAAGAGTGATTTAAAGATGTAAAGAGACAGACATGAAGGCAGAGAAAAGGTGGATGAGTACTGCGCCAGAAGTCAATCGCCAGTTAATAGACTTTTTTGCCGTATGAGTATACGTTGCCCAGGGTGCACCACGTGGAGGTAAGTCTATCACGCACCCCTTCTAATTAATATTATTTACATGAAAATGTCCTCTACATAGTCATTCATAGTTCGAGAAGTTTCCATATTTTCTCATGGGATTAGTTAAAACTATGCAAATATATACCCTTTAAATTGCTCTTCTTTGCCCGTTATCAAGCGTTTCTATTCTAATTTAAATAGGCGTTTTCAAGATATCTGTCAAGCCGATATTAGTTACAATTATCTCTCAGTTAGAGTTGAAATTCCACGATCACATTGAAAATATATAAGGCTCGAACTTTGCATACTGAATTCAGAATTTGATATTCCTTATCACCCAATGAGATTTCCAATTTTATTTATGGTGCTATGTTGCTTTTACCATCAAAATGGATTGGCCCTATCATAAAATATAAATAAGCTTTCAGATAAAATAAAATTATGCAGTAATTATTTATATAATTTTTCCCTTTTCAATTTATTTATTTCCTTTAATTTTATTCCTTTTTAATTATTATCGTAATTATAATAATCATAATTTATTACTATTGAGCCTAAAATAAATTATATTTAATTTATTAATTAGAATTATAATTGAGCTCTGATGCAATAAGGTCAACGTTACAACTCAAATCATCTTAACTTTCCTTTGTGGGTTTCTTTTACTTCTGTACATAATGACTTCAACCGCTACGGCGAATACAGAGGCAAGCTTTTATTCATTCTTTCTAAATACAAATTGTAAATTTATTTTAATATTTACACTTTTTTAGTGGCCGGAGATCACTACTGCTCGGAGGGAAAATCGTAGGGAACTTGTTGTTTCAAATCGTGATAATTTTGACCCTTCGGTTTATACTTTGACACAACTCAATTTTTTGGACATATCTAAATGCCCACTATATGAAATCGCTGATGACCTGAGTGATTTGACTGCTCTCTCTAAACTCTCTCTTCAGCACGATGAAATTGTTGCTGTTCCATTAGGTATTGGACAGCTCCTAAATCTTAAATTTTTGGACCTTTCATTCAATTCAATTTCAAATCTACCCTCAAATATATTTGATAATCTTTCTCTCCTCGAGACTCTTATATTGGACTCTAACAAACTATCCGAGCTGCCCTCGTTCAAAGGTCTTATAGAGTTGCACATTTTTTCGGTCTCAAATAATAAGCTACTATGCCTACCTGATACTTTAACTTGTTGCACAAAGCTTAAGTCAGTTGATGCTTCGGGCAATAATATAAAAGAAATTTCTGACGAGGTGCCTTGGTCCTCTCTCTCAAATTTACAACATTTTTATCTCAATGGAAACCAACTTAAAGAAGTTCCATTGGGACTAACTGAATGTAAGAGGCTTAGGGATCTTCAACTAAAGGAGAATCCTCTACAGGATGCTCGTTTAAAGAAGCTCGCTGCTTCTGATAGAGGCGATGCTGGAAATGTCCTCATGAATTACTTGCTCAAGATATCCAAAGGAAAAAAGGAGTTAGCAAAAACCTTGCCACACGACGCTATCCCCTTAGCTCCAACTTCGGCGCCTATTGAAAATGTCAAGATCTTATCAATGATCGAATCTGATGATTCGGATTTTAGAATTGATGTACTTCGACCGGGGGAAGTTAAGAAAAGTCTCAGACCTCATATCTTTGGTTGTGTAATTTCTGGTGTGAGCCTACATAGTGAAGGTCTTATTCGTGCATTTAGTAAATTTCAATCAAAACTACATGCCAAGCTTTGTGATAATCGAAAGTTGGCTACATTTTCAACCCATACTTTTGAGGCTGTTAAGATGCCTTTGGAGTTTTCTCTTCAACCCATTGATACAATCAGTGTAAGTGCACCATCGTTTTTAAATTATTTTGTAATATTTTATCCTAGCTGCAATGGTATCATTTACTCATCTTGATAAAAGCGCAAGACATGGTTTCTTCATTGAAGTTACTTATTACAGTCCTATTACAGGGGACCTACACAACAAACTTCATGATAATCATATGGGAACGCATCTCCGGTAGATTATGGGGAAGTGCTATTCGGAGAGTCGTTGTCACCAAATGTTCATCACTACTGAGTTTTGTATAACTGGGTTGAATTTCTTTAATCTGTAAATTCTACTCATCTCCAGAATATTTTCAGTCTTTTGCTATGCATATCGACTTAAACGTTTTTATTTCACAAGCCAGCTATGCACAAATAAACTTGGTTGGGCCATCTGTCCGGATGATGTGAGGCTTTAAGTAGCCTATTGATATTTACCTTCATTTTTCTATAATTTGTTGGATTTTACATGGACGATTAAAGCATATTCATTTTATTTGAAGCTTTGTTTCGGATTGAACAAGTAACACATTTGTGTATGTTTCTATGCGCATAGCTGTGGTTTTCAGAGTGTCATGAAGTGCGCTGTCTCAAAGTCATCTTTAACTTAGGTGTTGGTTCACGTGTCTGAACAACTCCCAATTCTGACAGTCGTTTTACTGTTGATAGTGCTGCCCTATGAATATTAAGCGGTCAGTTACTGGACTTGAGTTGTTGGCCAATTTGCAGAACCATGCCGAGTTGGAGAGGAAAAAACTAAAATTGAACAACTACAGTGCTTCGATGCAATACCTCCTTCTTATTTCACCTCTTCTTGGTCCTCGTATGGATCCAATCAATTTAAAGAAAGCAGCTGAAATAGCGCCACTTCCTGTTACAACTGATTTAACCGGCAACATCATCTCGCTCCATCCCATTACTGCATGCTACAAGACTTGTGTATGTGCCCCCTCTTTATCGCAGGCCGCGTTTCTCGTCTTTTTCTCTAGATGGTAGACTTTTCTTTTTAGCTTACTACGGAAACAACTAGAGTTTTGATTGAAGTTGCCGGAGTAAGTGATATGGTTTGCAAGAATATAATGCGTAAGCTGATTGAATGGTTAGTTCAGAATGCTGTTCCGGTGGGTGAAGGAGAGAGGGCAGTCACAATCACTCCACTTGCGGTTGTTGATGATGCGACGGGAGATCGATTAGCAAAGTTCCCTCTTGAAGTGGACATTATGGACCCCGATTTTCTTAACTCTCAGGCCGAGTAGGAAGAGCGAGAATATATGCTATTCCACAATTTTTCAGATTCCCTGCTTTGTTTCTTTTGTGCTCCTGTTAATTCACTATGCTTTGGTGCCTATTTTTTTATCTTCTTTGGGTTTCGGAAGTATAATTCAAGTTGTTTTTTCTGTCATTTTAATGGAGCGTTTGTTGAGCAGTGTACGTCGGCGGGCCTTAACTCGTGTACTTGAAGACTACTTGTCTTTTTTGAGCTATTTATATCGTTTTGGGCATAAATTAATGAGGTGGTGAGGTTACGTACCATTTTGTTATGAGTTGTTAAATTCGAACACTAATTTGATAGTGCTAAATTGATTTAAAACGTGTAAAGGAAAAGTAGCGTTCATAAATGGGGCTTTGTAGTGTTGGCTGCCCTACTTAGCGAAGTGGAGTGTCTGAAATAAATAATAAAAATGGACCTGAGTATCGCTCTTATACTCCTGTCAATGTGGAGTCAGTGAAAACACTAAAAATGGGTCGGTTTTATTCATCAATAAGGAAGACTTACTTGTCTTCTCTAATAAGCGTTAAAGTCTATGCCCAATAACAAAAATTTCGATCTCAACTTGGTATTCATGATTGGGATTAAGTGAATGAGCGCACAGAGTTTTGAGCTGAAGGGTCATTGACGTTTCTCCTACAGTTCACCAAAATCACTTAATTCTAGTAGTGCCGTGTCGGTCGCATTTTTTAGTGACTTCTTGCAGACCTCCTATAGACTCCAATTGAATTCAGGAAGGAGCTCTCTCTCTCAGGTATTCTACGGTGTCGCATTTAATTTTGAAAGGTTCAGAAAAGACTTTAGAAACTATTTGAAATGCAATTAAAGGACAATTGTCCGGGCGGATACTAAGTTGCTCAGGGTTAACCTCAGCCCAGTATAATGAATTGAGTAGAATGGAGACAAGGAGACGAAGAGGGGTGTATCTGGTGCTTCAGGAGGCTTCTACTCACCTTATTTGCTTGAGGGTACAATGGCATTCAAATAGATACCTTATTTTTATAAATAAATAAGTGGCAAAATAACTGGCTACGGTTTTTGTGAGAAATGAAATTAGCTAGAACGAATTGCCCATATGCATCTTTGCCATTATAACAAATGTCGACTAAAATTTATTTATATTTAAAATGGCAAGCGTTTTGATGGCTATCATTAACCCTTTAGTGGACTTCAGGCTTCACAAAGGGGAAGGAAGGTCAAAGTGAAAAAAGTCGAGAGGTGGGGGAGGAACAGAAGAGTTTCAAGGACGAGGTTAGAAAAGGTAGAAAAAAGGTGAGGTGAGTACTGTGAAGTAGTCGAAAGGTAATGGTAGTTTGAAGCCAACTGGCGGTTTCTAGACTTTTTGCCGTATGAGTGTACGTTGCCCAGGGTGCACCATGTGGATGTAAGTCTATCGCACACCCCGTGTCGACTAGAATTAATTCGTTTAAAGTGCCATTATAATTTATCACTAAGGCAATCATAGTATTTAATGTCCCTTTCCCTAAACAGGATAAAAGATGTCCTGAGAGAATGGGGAATAAATGCGGGGTAATTCTTAAGTGTATGTGATGGTGCAATATGACTCCTTTTCTAAGAAGGTGTAAGTGTCACGATGTGGTGTAATACAATTTTTCGATGAGAGGTGTAGATCACTCAAATTGCATGACTAATGGAATGGGCTTCCATGTTAGATCGAGGGGAGTGAAGTAATGGAAACATAAACCTCAGAACTCTCCCCTCATTTAAAAAAGAGTTTCCGATTTAGATGCTCAAGCACTAACATCTCTACTCGTCCGAATTGACGGTAATTTAATTTTCAACCGGTTTTTCATTGTCGAATAGTGGCGTGCGATCTCTCTTCCATGACTTTGTTTCTATTCGTCCAGTGCTGATGAATTCAGCCTAACCTACTGATTTCCGACTTCTTCAATGTTTATTTGTCCAACAGCCATGCGATTTTTAATCCGTGGCCTCTTCATCTTAGAGAATTCTTTTGTGCAATGTTGGCCACTGGGAAAATCATTCAATTTGTCATGGATTTTCCTGGCCATCGCAAACCTTTTCCTATTTTAATAACTTTTCATGGAATGGAATAGATGTTTTGGTGTTCCGCACTCTTCCTTCTGATCTCTCTTTCGAATTTCTAGCAAGACTTTTAAAATATTTGGGTTAATGCACTTATCGGAAAAGTTTCGATTCAACTCGAGTGGTATTGAATTAAGGTGCGAAAGGGTAGCTCAAATACATGCAGTGGAAATTCTTGGGCCTTCAAAGGTCTTGAAGCATATTAATTGAGCAGTTTATTACCTACTCTTTTCTGACCTTACGTTTACATCTAACGTCACTCATGAATTCTCTTACCAATAAGACATTGTTGTTTTATTGATTCTTAATAAGTGGAATTTAAATAGACGGCTGAAGAAGATATTCTGTACCTCAAAAAGTCAGATAGAGATCCTATAAGGTCTCTCGAAATTTAGAGAGCTTCTTTCATAACCTGACGGATCGTGAGTTACAAATATGCAGCGGAAGAATGACTGCCCTCAACAACTCTCCGAAATCTCGAGGAACCAAATTATGAGATAAGGTGATACTATATAGAAATGCTATTCCAGCACTGAATTCTCCAATTAACCTCTTTCCCCTTGTCAATCAATATGTCTGTTAATAGGATGTAGCGGTGCAAATGGGGATAATATGGGGTCAATTATAACCTTAGCGTTGTGGTATTGGGACGTCAGCTAAAGCAATTCGTCCGCTAGACGTACCATACCGCTTGACATTTCAATGGGATTATCCACTTCCACTTTGAATTATGATCACTCTATTTAAACGGGATGGACACTTTTGTCATTCTCTTTTTTTTCACTGAAGATTTAGTAATAAAGTTTTTGACAATTGGTCATTAAGTCTACGTTGATTTAATAAATATTATATAGCATGAGTTATTTCTGCAAAAGCACTCCTAAACAGACGCCTCTCAAGTACTATGAATGCGGAAAATTGATCACTGCAACATCTGCACTAAATGAAATAACTTTCATTAAATCCCTTTCCTTTTATTTCTCACGATTTTCTGTCATTTTGCTTGTATAGTCCATTTGTTCTTTACACCACAATTTTCTCACTAATTTGCATATAAGGTTGAACATCGAAAAATTCCGTTACTATTTTTCGAAAAAAATGAGAATGCTATTAGAAAATAGGCTCCTGCTCAAATTGACTCCATATATTGCTGCTTAGAATTCATCTAATATGCAAACCACAAACCATTTTTAGAGCGTTGTCCTGAATTTTTAATTATCAACTTGGATAATTACTGTAACAAACTTGTAGCGGATTGCTACCTTAGTAAAGCCTGAGTGTCTCAGAAATCTCTATGGCAGAACTTCCTACATCGAGCTAGACTCCCAGAAACGGCTAAGCTATGGCCCAGCTATAAAGGAAACAGACCTGTAGCACAGAGCACGTTTATTTAGGACGTGTATTGCGGATCCAGTGTACACGCAGGGAGCTACTCATGATCAGGATGGGGGAATAGGTTAAACAGAGGTTGATGATTGGTCACTGTTTGTACGGTCGCTGCACACAGAGTTGTACGGACGCACCTCCCAATCCTGGCGAGCAGACATGCAGGCATACGATGACGCACAGAGCGATAACGTGTCCCACAAACTAAAGCGTAGTACAAAATGAGTCATTTACGTCATTTACAGCGCCACCTGAAAGACTAAAATATCAAGTTTGCTAGAATAAGTATCCAGTTCAAATTTTATGGTCTTTGCCAGATCATGCAGCCTGCGCTACCATTGTTCTATGTAACCGTTAATTCCATCTTCATAATCAATAAAGCATTTCTAAATATGATAGATATGATCAAGTTTTTGACGCTTGGAAACAGATTGCTAGTACATTTAATGAACAATAAAAATCAGATAGATTTTATAAAACTGGGATGAAAATAATTTTCAAGAACAAATAGAAGTGAAAATCAGACAATTTCTCCATTGGAAGGAAACGTATTCACAAGGGTACCAAAGATTTCTGAAAGTGTAGTCCAATGCCTCATGATTTCAGCTGCTGTTACAAAGTATTTTAAAAGTCAGTTGGAATAAAGGAAATTACATAAAAAGGAGGCATCGTTTTGCAAAATTATTGAAATAATTTAATCGAGTAGTATTGAATTCCGGTTTCTAAGAGTGTATTCGGAACTTGGGTTTAAGAAAACTGCCAATGGATAAAAATCAATGTGTAGATTTGCCCAAATTCAGAATCAAAATTGGTGAAAAGGGGGTGCAGGATAGACTTAACTCCAACGTGGTGCACCCAGGACAACGTATCTTCGTACGGCAAAAATGTCTCTCACTCGGCATTTTGACTTCTATCTATTATGATTAGCTTGAAACAAAGCTATAAGAAAAATCGCCCTTGTCAGGGCGAAGCACAATGTCTACAGATCCTTCAGTGGAATGCTGGAGGGATGTCACAGGACAAAAAGATCCAAGTCCAGAAAATCCTACAAACCTATGATGAAGAAATTTTCACAAATATGGTTGCAGTCCTTTCGGATGACAAACTGAAGTACTACCAATTCCCAGGTTGCACCCTGTACCTTCTACCTAAATACCGACAAGTTGCAAGTGGAATTGTGACTGGAGTAAAAGAAGGCCTCACCTCACATTAAGATCAAATCAAAAGTATGGGCTCGACACAAGACATGTGTGAAATAATCAGAATAAATTTTTGGAAATGTCAAAATCACTTCAAGATATATGCAGTCTATAATCCACACCAGAATAGTCCCAACTTTGATATTCTGAACATCTCACACAAAACTGTTGTACTAGGAGACTTCAACGCCCATTCCACCAGATGGGGCTATGAGAGTACAAGCATAGCCTGGAAGGAAATCGAAGACATGCTAAACGGCAACCCTCTAGAACATATTAATAGCAATGATCATGTAAAGTCAGATATGGAAATGCTCTATCAAAATCCAATCTT